TTATTTTTTTGAAACTCATAGAAATATGTTTTTAAAAAAATGCATACAATAATTTGATCAATAAAATCGAATATAAAAACGTATTTCCCCTTAATAATAATTAACACGTCATTCATTTTTCATCGAATTTAGGATTCTGACCTTCAAAATATTCCCCAGAAGCAGACTACACAACAGGTTGAAATTCATGGCATATAAATGATGCTCCACCCCTGAATATACTTAATTAAAATTTGAGTTAAAAGGAATATTATTTTTATGTAAAGAAACAAAAAGGTAACAATAGTACAATAATAGCAGGATGTAACATATTTAGAAAACCAGCACTAGTATCCAGCACTTTAATTTCTTTTGTTCATATACTACGTCACACAATTTCCCCATATTTCACAAAATAAATAAAAAAAATGGAGGATAAAAAACTTCATTTCTAAAGATATTCTAATTTAAATGTGGAATTCAAAATAGAATACAGAACCAATTTAATTCAAAGGGAAAAACGTTTATTCTTAAAACAGATTCTAAATTGAATATTGAATTTAAATTATGAGAAAAAAACAAATGCAGTTTCAAATGGAGAGAGGAATCCCACTCTCTTTTGTTTAAAACTTATCTTTACATGGGTACTCGAACCCATTCTCCTTTCAACCATGCATCATTGATCTATTTTTATAATCCAATCTCTTTTGTTTCCATGGGTACTCGAACCCATTCTCCTTTCAACCATGCATCATTGATCTATTTTTATAATCCAATCTCTTTTGTTTACATAGGTACTCGAACCCATTCTCTTTTCATAGGAACCCAATATCTTTTGATGAATTTTTATAATTCACTCTCTTTTGTTTAAAACTTGAACCTACTAGGCCACGCTGTACACGTAGTTCACAAGAATATTTAGCTTAAGGAGCAATCTCCCGGTTAGTCAAATAAAAAGGCTTTTGGCCCATTGTGGGCCCCTAATTGGTTTCTAAAAATTTCCTTTGGTATGATTGTTCGGCACATTGAACCCTACATTCGGGCCAAAATTTATAGGTGAATAATAAAGGGAGTTACGTGGTTTTGACGTGTGAGTGCGGATTCTGGTCAATTTCATCTCTTTTTCAGCCATTATTCGCTCTTTAACAAAGAAAGATACTTTTTTTTTACATCTAAAACACCTTATTCACGTTTAAATATCGAAAATATTGAAAAAGAAGTTGAAAAAATAATATAACATAAAATAAATTATCCCGAATTTATCTGTTTTGTACCTATTATTCGCGATATCCCAAGGGAAAAAAATCTATTTTTAATATAAACACTTTAAAATATCGAAAAACGCATTAAAAAAATAATATAAAATAAAATAAAAACAAAAAAAACTAAAAAATTAACCACCGCTGGGATTCGATCTCAGGTCAACCCGGCCTACGAATCTCAATCGAACACAGCCCTAACAACTAGGCTACGCTGTACACGAAATTCCTACGAATATTTAGCTTAAGGAATAGTCTCCGGGTTATTCAAATAAAAAGGTTTCTGACTCATTGTGGGCCCCCTAATTGGTTTATAAATTGGCCCAATTGGTGTATAAAAATTGGTTCATAAATTGGCCTAATTGGTCTATAAAAATAGGTCCATAAATTGGCCTATAAAAATTACGATTGTTCGGCACATTGCACCCTACTTTCAGGTCGAGTTTGAAAATTATAGGTTGATAATAAAGGGAGTTTCGGGGTGTGACGTGTGCTCGCCGCCACTGTCTATTTCCGTCCCTTTTTCAGCTATTATTCGCTCTTTAACAAAGAAAGATACTTATTTCACTCTAAAATATCGAAAATATTTAGAAGAAGTTGATAGAAATAATAAAAATAAAATTAACTAGTGGGCTACGCCCCCTGCTCGCTAACGCTCTCCAACTCCCGAAAATTGCTACGTAATCTTATATGGTTTGCTTCGCAAGCCAAGCTCGCTTTGCTCGCTATTAACTTAGATAATTCAAAACAATAATTCAAATCCATATAAAAACTTTTTTTTAAAAAAAAATTACATCTTTTTAGTAAATAGTAAGTCATTAAAATAAATTTGAATTCAAATAAATGACATGTATTTCGCTAAACCTATTAGAAATGTGCTATAGTATAATTCGTGATATAAATCAAAAATCGTCAAATAAATTCGTGAAAAAAAGCGCTTTCGACAAAATACTAAAATAGAGATCTATCGACAAAGTACTACTCACTGTTGCCTAGCTTAATAGTATAATATTGCCGCAGCTGATGCTCTCTGGTTAGTTCAGTTTCCGTTTTTAAAAGCGCTATATATTGAGCCACCTCAGCTAGATTTGGCATGTGACATTTTTAGCAAAATCATGGGTCGATTCGCCGTGTAAGAGAAATAGTAACGTAAACAAAACAAAGCAAACGTTGCCACTAGCGGAAAAGAAATACAGCCAAAATTTGGGAGCCACGTAATAGAATTATATATATTAGATAATCCCGAATTTATCCATCTTTTACCTATTATACACAGTTTCCCAAAGAAGAAAAAATATTTATATATATAGAACACTTTATTCACGTTAAAATATCGAAAAACACATTAAAAAAAATAATATAAAATAAAATTTTAAAAGAAATTAAACAATTTTAAAAATTTATCACTGCCGAGATTCGAACCTAGGCCCTATAATATTCAAATTATACCGCACATAATATTACCTGGTACTAGTGTACCCTACATAGGGAGCCCACAATGTGGCCCTATAGGTTACAATGTATGTGCACATATAATAGCGCTGAAATGAAGAAATGCGTGGTCAATATTCTGTATTACAACATGGCGCTATATCTCCCCTTAATATTGACCCCCTATAACATTCAAGTCGGACCATTAATTATATTACTGGATATTAGTGTACCTTACCAGAGGAAATAATTATGATCCTAAAAAGGGGCCGTACAGGTTAATATGTACGTATAAATGAGGAATTTCGATGTCAATATTCCGTATTACTTTACGGTCCTATATCTCCCCTTAATATTCAAATTGGACCACGCATTAGATTACCGGATACTAGTGATAATAGTATATATATATATATATNATATTTCTATTAATATAAAAAGTTTCAGAGCTTTTTATTCACTTTACTTTTTTGGGATTTTATGAACTGAAAAATGACAGTTTTCGTGAGAATGAACCATATATATATATATATATATAATAGCATTAAAATGAGTTAATATTATGTATTACAACATGGCCTTTTATCTCCTCTATATATTGGCCCATAATATTCAAATTGGACCACATGTTATATAACCGGGTACTAGTGTACCCTTCCAGAGGAAATATTTATAGTCTTATTACGGTGTACTTAATATGGTCCCTTTGGATTACAATGTTTGTATATATATAATAGCGTCAAAATGAGGAAATTCGAAGTCAGATTCGATAACAATATGGCTCTATATCTCCCCGTTATATTTACACATATTTAAATTGTACCATGTATTATATTACCAGGTACCCCAGAGGAAATAATTACAGGCTTATTAGGGGGTACACTTTGTTACCATGTATTTATATATATATAATAGTGTGCTGAAAGAGGAAATTCAATGCCAATATTCTGTATTAAAACATAGCCATACATCCAAACTTAATATTAACCCATAATATTCAAATTGAACCATGTATTATATTACTGGGTACTTGTGTATCCTACCAAAGGAAATAATTTAAGGCCTAATAGGGGGCCCACAATGTTTCCCTATAGGTTACTATGCATGTATATATATACTAGATATTAAAATGAGGAAATTCGAAGTTAATATTATGTATCACAACATGGCTCTATATCCCCCCTATATATTGACCCATAATATTAAAATTATACCACGTATTAGACTAGTGGGTACCGGTGTACCTCAATAGAAAAAATAATTATAGGCTGAATAGGGGGTACACAATACATCCCTATGTATGTATATACATAATAGCGTAAAAATGAGAAAATTCTAAGTCAATATTCTGCATTACTACACGGTCCTATACTTCCCCTTAATACTGATCAGTAATATTCAAACTATATCACGTATTATATAACCAGGTACTTGTGTATCCTACCAGAAAAAATAGTAATAGGGCCCTCAACATGGCCCTATAGGTTAATATGTATATATATATATAATAGCGTAAATTATGTATAAAAGTGTTCTTTATCCAAAAATTATTATTTTTCTTTTTGAAAGATCGAATAACAGCTAAAAATCGAAGAAATTTCGAACACCGATGCTACGCATACGAATGACTCCGTATATCCCCCCCCCTCTCTCTAATATTATTTATAATTTTCAAACTTGACCTGAAATTATAGTTTATTATACTAAATCGCACCAAAGGAATTTTTTATAGACAAATTAGGGGGCCCACAATGGACCAAAATAGCTTCTATTGAAAAACCGCAGGAAAGTTTTTTAGGCTTAATATTCGTGGCATCAGCGTGTGTGGCGTGGCATGGTCAGCATCGCCGAGGGGATGTTAGCAACGAACTTTGTAGTCTGAGGGGTCCAGAGTTCAATTCCGATCAAAGGTTAACTTTTTAAAATGAAAGAAATTTTTTTTATTATTTTTATTTCTTTTCTATATTTTGACGTGAATAAAGTGTCCCTTATCTAAAAACTATTATTTTTCTTTCGGAGCGAATAATAGCTGGAAATCAGATAAATATTCTGCTACGCATACGAATGATCTTCCCTAAATATTGACTTATATTTTTCAAACTCGGCCAGAAATTATACTTTAATATACTGTCTTTTACATCATTTATTTAATAAATTTTTTGCGTTTAGAATCTGCGTAACATTCAAAATTTCGGTGTCTTTTTTCTTGCAACAAACAAACTTGCAGCCCTAATCATGACTATTTAAAAAACATTTTAGATTTTAAAATTTTAAATTGTTTCAATATTAATTATTATTTTGTAAGTGTAATGGAAAAAATTGAACTAATTGTTCATTGATAGAAATAATCATTTATTTCAAAAAATGCATGTAAATAAATTATCTTATAATATCCATGCAGAAATATTACAAGGACGTTTATATTTTTACAACAAATTATAAAGTGACTGAAATTAAATTCTTAAAATTTAAAAAAAAATATAACAAATAATTAGTACTAAATATAGGTTGATAACTATTTCATTCAGTACTTATTCATCTCTAGGAAACTGTATATGCTTCAATTCTTTGGCAAGAACTTCTGCTAAAACTGGAGAGGATGAACAAAGAACTCTACGTGACATTAAATCCAAGGGTGCACCTAGAATTCAAAATTTATATTTTATTGCATTTAAAGTTGAACCTAGCTTTGCGCAGAATAAAACTACAGTGTGCACACAAACACACTGAATAACTTTTATTACTCACAAACTATTTGAATCAAAATTTTTATTTTGCCATTTAAAGTTTTTCGTTTTTTCGGTTAATGGCGGGCACTTGGGTCTATTTCCTATTGACCTTAGAAATGCCAGAATTGCTACTCTCTTGTTGTTGTTGACGGATGCCTGTTTAGGCAGAAGGGGTGCGATTGTTCTTGTTTTTAAGTGGCGCCATCTATGGCCGAGAATTCGACTTCTGCCACACCATAAGTCGCACCCGTTTATAGGGCGAACCCATTCATACATCCATTCATTCATGCACACATAGTAATTTTGACCTGAATCAGAAAACGATCGATCTCCAGTCCAGTACCCCCAGAGGTATTGATTTGTTATGGGAAAATGGAGGACTTTTGCGACTCGACAGCTTTAACGTGCATCAGTCACTTTACTACACGGGGAGCCTTCGGTCGACGGGGTTCGAACCCACGAACTCTCGGACATGGGCCCAGCACCCTATCGACCAGGCTATCCCGGCCTGCTACTCTCTTATCGTTACCCAGTGAGCACCCTATGGCTAAGTCACGGTGGTGGAGTAGCGTCGCCCACATCATACAACCACAAACCCGTGCCATTTAAAGTTACATCCTATAAAATTATGTAAAAAATTACATACTTTACAAATAAAAAAGTTTTTTGACCATTTTTAAATAAAATGCCAAAAAAAAGCATAAAAAATTATTTTATGCAGGAACTTTAAAATATAAATTTTATATTTTAGCTTCAATTTGCATTAAAGGGCTGAATACAAATTATTAGGACTACATTTTAAAGGTTTGAGGGTCCATGAAAATGCTTGATCTACACTAATTATTTGACACCCTTCAAATCACTAAGATTTAGTGCCTCCAATCAAAAGTTTTTCAAGACGCAATATGTCAGAAATCAAACAAATTCCCTGCTACCATCATTAAAAAATTATGCAAAATCTTCTGAATCTTAATAAATTCTACTTCTTTTGATTATTTTTATGAAATATAATTTTTATCCTTCTTGACAGATAAACACTTTAACATGGCAGCAAATATGTAATCCAGTCTCAACAGAAATATTTTGCCTTTTCTAACTTCATATTTAAGTGAAGTCACTTTTTCAGCAGCATGTGTGGACATTGAGTTGGGAAATAGATTACTGGACGTGGAATCGCATGTTAGACTAAAATTGACCACAAGAGACTATGATGAACTGTCATCACAGTAAAAACAATATCATCCTTCTCACTGATGATAATAAACAAAACTTTTTATACCAAAAAAGAAAAATAAGAATATTTTTCAAAAAATACATCTCTATGAGTGGTACAAAGCTTTACGAAAAATTTAGAAAGGAAATTTAGGAAAATTTAGGAATGAATCGGAGCAAGAAAGCCTTTTTTTTTTTGTAGGAATATCTTTACATGTAAACTATATATAAAAACAAGATAAAATGAAATTAAATTAAGAGCATAATACAGTCGCATGTATGGTATAAGGATAATGTTAGATATAGAACATCAAAATAAGGGAACAGGTAACTTGGTGGACACATAACATAAAACTAAATATACTTGCCAGTTGGATCAATGACAGTTCCACCAGCTTCTTCAACAATAATTTTTCCAGCTGCCATGTCCCAGCAATGGATAGAGTATTCGACATATGCATCCGCATGTCCGCTGGCTACTTCACACATGTTAAGAGCTGCTGACCCCATCATCCGAATGCTAGATTTAAATAATATAGAATTCACAAGACCCAAACATCAGTAGTCATTGGAAGTACAAACACAGTTAGCGTTCATGAAACTCAAATTAATACAATTTTAAAATGTATAGACTCTGATTAGTATCTATGCATCTAATTAAGTATCAGAGTGTGTAGCCAAATTCTTCAACAAAAAATAAGCACCTTTTAAGAACTTTTCAAGCATTCAAAAATATTTTCAGGGGTCTGTCCAGATATTTTGTGAAAGGTCCTGTTTCTGTAAAAAAAAAATTGCTCATAATTTGTGAATATAAAATAAACGTTAAGTCAGATTCTTTCAACCAGGGTCCTGCTTTTGTGAGTTTGTGCCAATAGTGTTATGTTGTAAAGAACAATGTGAACAGTGTCTTTTTACATGAACAGTGTCTTTTTGCACATGGCAAAAATCGACATGGTAAAGGGAAAATTAGGCACTTTTTAAAAACATCCAATGAAAAATGCACCTTTAAGGGATTTTAAAAAACGAAAATAAGCACCTTTAAACACTTTTTAAAAATGCTACGCACCCTGTTAATTCTATAAAGGCAGAGAATACTAATAAAATTTTGCAACAAATAAGAAATAAGCTAGCAAATCTAAAAGCCAATTCTTAAAACGTATTTCTTTTCTTAAGTAAAAAAATATAAAAGCTTTATTTTTATATTTTCTATAAGAAATTTATTGCAAATAGTTTTTAAATTTTGTATGACTTTAAATTATTGACATGAAATAATTTTCTAGTGTTTAAAAAATTGCCCAAATATGTCAGGAATTTTTATTTTAACAAAAATTATTTTTAAACTTTCTTTATTTTTAAACTTTAACAAAAATTAGTTTTTCAAATTTTATTGTTGGCAGCACATAACAAGCATTGAGTTTATAAAATAGTCTTTTTTTAAAGTCTAAACAGCAATTTTGGCAATGGTTAGGTAAAAAGTGTAGGTTATTATTTATTAAACAACTATTACTTATCCAATATATTATTTATTAAATAATATGTTTGTATTCGAGTAAATTCAATAGTATGTTTTTTTAATGATATTTTCCTTAATTTTAGAATGAAAAAAAAAAAAGGTTTTAGACAGGATTTTTAAAGCAATTTTCCAGTTAATTTAATGAAATTAATGTTAGTATCGAAAAGATTATTGAAAACTGTGACTTCAGCAATAATGGTGTTAAATGCTAAAAAATATTTTAGGTAATTTTAAAGTTAACCTATTGATAACTGAACGCTAAATTATAAACTGAATGTTCACAGACTATAACTAAACTGTTATTAAGCTTGAAATTTAAAAAAAACTTAAAATAACAGTTGTTGCACATTTTTATAATAAGGAAGAAAAAAAATCTCTTTTCTTTGTAAACCATTTATGTTTGTTACATTATTTATTTATAACTATACACCATTTTTATTTTTACATTATTGATTTCATATTCATGTCTAAAATAATATTTCAGTCTGCTGAAATTTATATTTCACACCCTCAAGGCTTTGATTATTTTGAATTAATAGAATGTCCCTTTCAGCACTCTTAATTTCATCTATCAAAATATTAAACTGAGACATATATTTTCATACATTGCTAGTACTTAACTAGTAAGTATCTCATTAAGTTTTTCAGTAGCAGTTCTCCATTTGATCATAAATCTTATTTTAGTTTTACTCTACAGAATAAAAAACAGAAGAAAAACATTACAAAACATGGATATTATATATTTTTCTATGCACAATATTACTATCGCCATCGATCATTGCAAAAACTTGGCTAATAATTCAAAAATGTATATTAATTCTTTTTTCCATTGGTCAGTATAAACCACCCATAAAATGGTTGCCAATAAAGAGCAGTAACACCCCTTTTTTTTAAAAAAAAAAAGTGTTTATTTTATGAAATAAAACGTGCTAATTAAGAAATTTTTGCTCATTTCAACTCATTATTTCTCAAAACATTTAAATCTTCTAACATTGTTTCATTCTTTTTTTAAAACTTTTTATACAGATTTGAGGATTTTATAATCTTGCGTCAATCAATATCAGCTCCTAAATTGTATTATTTATATAATATTAAAATAGCTTTTTATTTTTAAAATATTTAAAGTTGAATTGAAATAAAGAATAAATATGAATTAAGAATGCAATTAGCGAAAAATATTAAATTCCAAACAATAAGAATATCTGAATCATGTTAATCTATTATGTTATCTATGAATCATGTTATCTATGTATAATCTAAAATGAAAGTAGTGCGTAAAGACAAAAAACAAATCATACTACGAGAATTAATACGTTTAAGTGGCCTGGTATTCATTGAGTTCGTAAAATGTCAATTTTCCAGAGCATACAATAAAATTCCGGAGATTATGCACGTTCCTTTTCTCCCTCTTAGTTATAGAATGTTGTGATCAACCTGTTTCCTTCATTGTGTATAAAACACAAATTTTCTGTGACAGCAAAGAGGATTAAGCCTTATGGATGGTCGTTTATACACTAGGAAGTACTGCAGTTGCTCTTTACAGCCAATACTTCCGGGTTACTGTTTCACGTGTATTTTGTTGCCATTTGGCTCAGAACATATTCATTGTGTTTTGAGATTCTTTTGAATAGTAGCTCTTGAAAAAGCTGTATTTATTTATTTATCACTTGTGCTTACAATGAATTCTAAGTCTAAATACCACATGCAATAACTAATAAAGATGTCGTTACATAATAAGAAAAATAGTGAAAAGACAGTACGCTTATATCATTTTATTAATGTTAAAATTATAAAGGGTATATAATTTTAACATTACTTGTGAAATAGTAGTGTTCAGTAGAAGTAACACATGGTTTGATTAATAATAAATAAGTAAACATGAAAAAAAAAATAAGTCCCTTTAAAAAAGAATCGTTATAAAACACTTCATGCCATTTCAATAATATATGCCAATTTTCAAATTTAAACCTGAATTATAATTTATAAACTTAATATTGTTGCTTGAACAATATGCTAACACTAATGTAAGATGGTGCACAGCTTGCTAACTAAAACAAATTTTCACTTCAAACTCAGCAGAATTACGTAATATCTTATGACATAAGGCAGGTTGGAGATCAGAAATTATCTAATTCATTTCTTTGATTGAAAACAAAATTATCCGGTTGATATTACCTCACAAAATAAGCTGTAATAAGCAGCTGAGATTGTTATTTCCATTGTTGTTTACAATTAGATTGAAAACACCATCCATAAATGTTTTTCTTAAATTTATTTTTCTTAAAAAATGCTAAATGTTTCTATTTTTTTTTTTTTAAGAAATTGTTTATTTTATACCCATGTGCCTTTTCCATAAAAAGATGCAAGTTTTGAAAAATTTGTTCTTTGCTTTCAGGACTTCTGTCAGATCCAAATTCACTTAATATTAAGGCTTGTGATAAATCTAACAAATAAACAGAGAAAATTATTAGCAGAAATTCTAATACATTAAAATTTTAAGGTTTCATACCAAAATTCATTGATTTAAATCAACTGACTTTTAAAAAAATATATATATAATAAACAATGGTTTGAAGCAAATGAACTTCTACGGAAATCATTAGTTTCAAGATTCACAAAGCACTTTAGTATAAGAGAATCTAAATTTTTTTGTAATTTTTTTTTACTATTATTGATTTTCTTAGTTTTAAGTTTTCTTAGATTCTAAGATTTTTAAGATTTTCTGAGTTCTTAGTAGCAAGAAATGTAGTAAAATAGAGACATTGTTCAGAAGGATTAGTAAGTACTGTGTCGAGAAACTGCGACGAACAATCTAACTTTAAAATTTTAACTGTAACTGTAGCGAGGCGGAAGTTTTGTAAACAGAAGGGGAATAATCGCCTCAGAGAGAAGAGGTTGATATGTAATGCTCATTTCAAAAAAGCTTAATGTTTCGTTATCAATTATGTTTCTTGTTACGTTTTGTGTTAAATATTAAATGTTTTAAAAGGAAATAGTTAACTCCTTTAATGGCAGAACTTGTTACTTTTTATTATTGACATCTTTTTATTTTTACAAGAGTAGCGATCCTTTTTAAAGCGAAAGAAAAGCTTTCCATCTTCTCACCGGGAAAATTGAAGAACAACAGAAATTGCAGGTAAGGTAATTTTGCCTTTACCTTTAATTAAGAATTATTATTGAATTTAATTGAGTTGATTGATAAGGAATTTATTACATACTGCTATCTTTTCAAATTCATGACTTTCCATGACTCATTCCAAGAATTTTTCATGACTTCCCAAGTTACTATTTTCTCCGACAAAAACACAACAATAGATTTAAAAAAGCATTATAATAACATTAACTGAAATGATAGGTATAACCAAAACTGATATACTCTGCATCTTCATATTTATAGATTTTTAATTTAAAAAATAGAGTGAAGAAAGAGTTGAAGCAATAAAATAGCTGAAAAAAATGCAAAAGCAAATTTTTTTTCTTTTTTTCTGCAGAATTATATTCAAAAAATACTTTTCTTGTTCATCGGAAAGGAAAGAAGTGCTCCTAATTTTTCTGTATAAAAAAAATTCACCAATGAATGGCTTGCTTCAGCTGGATATTTAAATTGATGAAATGAAAAAAAAATTATAAAAAATTCGGAAACAACCGAAGTTTAAATGATAATTCGCTCTAGAAATGATGTTTTTTTTTCTTTCCATTTTTTAAAAGAACACCACAATTTTTAAAGAACACGATAAAATATTTTATATTTTAATGAAATATGACTGTGAGTGGGGATTTTGTTACTAATTCAGATATTCGGAACACCATGAAATTGGAGGGGTGGGGGGATTCCATTTTGAAAAATAGATTTTTCGGCGACTTAAATCCATAGCTTTCCATGATTTTTCTTTTTTCTTCAAATAGCTAAATTCACAACATTTCATGACAAATTTTGTTCAATAACGAGATTCGTGATTTTCCAAGTGCTCAGATACCCTGTAAGTATATTTTATCTATTAATGAAATGTCACTTTAAAAGGTTTTATTATACTCATTCATTTAAAATATCGAAAAACTACAGTTAAACGCGTGAATACAAATAGTTTAGAGCAGGTCAATGGCAATAGAATTACAGATACTTTAAAAAAGCAAATAAAAAAAAATGGAATCCATCTTTACCCTCAGTTCCAGATACTTGAAGTCTCTCTCCATTGCAGAATGATCCTTTCCCTTTTACACCCGTGAACATTTTATCTAACACAGGATTATAGACAATGCCCAAAACAATCTGAATAACAAAAATAAATACATTTAAAAGTAATCAAAGAGGAGTTAAAAATATAATAAAAATTATGAAGAAACTTAACCTCTTTCTCCAAACTCAATCCAATGGATACTGCAGTGTAAGGAAAACTACAAAGAAACGTGAATTATCTTAAAAAGAAATAAATTCTTTAAAAAATGCATAAATTTCAACATCCTTGCCAAATCAAACTTTACAGAACTGTTGCAAACTATAAATAATCAAATAACTATCAATCTTTATACACATCTTTTGATAGTTGGAAACTGGTATGTACTTAATATTTAAATTCATCCTCATAAATATAAAAACAATTATCGTCAAGTATTGCCACACTATATTTCATTCAGCCAATGGCTTTATAAATACTTTAAGAAAGAAAATTTATTCTGTAGCCCAATATTTAGATACATATTTTCAAAAGGAGACACATTTACATACACAGGGGTGATTGTGAGCCCAAGACAAAATTCCGGAAAATTTCTTGAGTTAAAAAAAAGTTTAAGTTGAAAAAAATTTAAACAAGGTATTTTTTTCCCTTTTTCTCAATATTTCTTAGTTTGCTTAAAATATATTTAAAATTTTACTCATACCACTGATGACCTGGAGAAGTAATTAAAATTTACAGATATGTCTTTCTTTCTTGAGTTTATGATTATAACAACTATTTACTGATAAAAAATTAATATTAATCATGAATATAAGCTTATAAAGTATCTCTCTAGCTCTCCCTTACAAACAAATGAAATAAACTGTTTTTTTAAGTTCCACCTTTGAAAAGTTGATTACCGGAAACTTCTGTGATCAATGATTTTTTTAAACGTCTGGACCTTCGATCTCTGGAAACTTCTGGATCACTGTTAGCAAAAATTACGGAAATTCGGATTTTTTCCGGAGCACAATCAGCCCTGCATACAATTGCCTAATATTTTAGTGCCATCTCAGACAAATATATATATATATATATATACAAAAATAGCTTNATAAATTCCGGAAATTCGGATTTTTTCCGGAGCACAATCAGCCTAGCATACAATTGCCTAATATTTTAGTGCCATCTCAGACAAATATATATATATATATATATATATATATATATATATATATGCGTGAGTGTATTAATAAACATTATGGGAACAAAAAATTAATTTTTACAGAAAAATTAAGTATTTCGCTGAATTTCAAAGACTGGAATGGGAATTTATTTATCATAATTTATGTTAGACAAATTCTGGTGACAAGTTTAAATTTTTCAAGAAAAGCATAGATTTAATAATATTCAGTTAATAAAAAGGTTTACTGCATAAATGGTATAAATAATGACATTATTATTCAATTCATTATCAAATCAAAAAATTTCAAAATTATAAAGTAAAGGAAAACAAGCTGTTTCTAAATTACTAGATATTCAACTAAAACTGCTGATCTGTTAGTTACCCTACTAAATTGTAACCCCAGTAGTTGAATTTGCAAAATAAGTCTGCATCTTCTTAAATCCAAATTTATCTGCAAGCTTAACGCAGTCAGATAAAGATTCCGAATATGTAAAAACTTCAAGATGCTTAAATTCAAGTTGAACTTTATTATACAATGAAACCTCCATGGCAGAGTTGCAGCGACAGGGCGACATTGTCGCAGAACGTTTCAGAGTTCTTGCAGAAAGATTTTTCTTTTGAAAAGTTAAAAAAAAAATTTCATTTCGACAGAAATTTACACGTAATATTTGAATCATGAATTTAGATAATCACTTTTTGACACGCTCAATTTAAGCTCATAGTATCCTAAATTGATGTAATCTAACTGATCTATTGCTGTAAGTATAGAAACCGATGTATCATTATTGTTACAACATATATGTTTCTTATTATTAATAGTATCTTGCAGAAAGATATTAGTGCTAGAGAGTTTTGTCGCAGATAGTTCGAAAAAATTCTGCCACAAGGAATGACACTAAAAAAGTTGGAATAAATTCATATACAGATAAGCCTGTAATCAAGTAATTGAAAGAAAAAAAAGACATTTTGTTTTTTGGAATGTTCTCTCATTCAGCTTTTTCAAAATAACAATGCAATGCAATAGTTGGCAAAGTAAATTAAACAAAAGTATTAGAATAATCTCATTTATCATTTATAAAAGAATTTAAAAAGGCAATCATTCACAGAATTGAAATCGAATAAAAGCAAAAACAGGGCTTTGATGCTCAAAATTGATGGTTTAATCATATTAAATTTCAGATTTGTAAGTCAAACCAAACTCTTTCTTTTAATATATGCATTGACATGAGGAGCAATATAGTTTCATTACAGGTTAATGCTCAATTTAGAATACAATATACAAGCTAGTAAATAAGTATAATGTAAATTCAAATTCTACAAAAATTGCATAATTTGAGGCATAAAATAAAATGTGGGAATAAATAGAAAATAAAAGAGCTAAAAAAATAACAGCAGAAAAAACAACTTTAAAAATTGATAAGTGTAAGGCAGAATATGTTAATGAAAGAAACTACTCTACTAACTCAGTGGCGCGACAGCCCATTAAGAGGGCCAAGGCCGACTGTGCCCATCTCAGTTTTCTTGACCTTGGGCTCTGGGGTGCAGGAGCATATGTTCCGGTCAGGTGGTCAGCCGAACGCGGAACCCCCAGTGTTAGTTCCCAAGCATGCTTGGTACTCATTTTATCGACCCACTGAAGGGATGAAAGGCTGAATGAAAGAACCAATATATTAATTAAAGAACATGCTTTATTCCCCTTGCCGATAGCCCCCTCCAACACATACCCTTGCCTTGTATAATGTTCTACCCTCGATGCATGCTCTAATTCTAGATGATAAAAGAACTTTCTGTTTTAAAAAAGTGAACTGAAAAATTGTTCCTATCAACTATAGTGATGCTGAAAAATTAAAGACTTTTAAAAGCCTTGTACCAAAATTAAGTTCTTTTGAGGGTCCTTATTTTCTAAAATAAAAATTGAGCAGTTTTTAAGGACTTAAGGATTGTGGGAACCCTGTTTTTTTATTTACCCTGTGCAAAGAATGGGTATTCAGCTAGTATGCTTTATAATTTAAACAGTAAATTAATAACTAAAATACAGTGAAAAAAGAGCTGCACTTTTTGATTAGAAAATATGTTTGCAGTAAATATTTGATTTGAATATTTGCAGTAAATTTTGTTTTAATGAAATCTAGGATTTATTTTCAAATCTAGTTGACATATTCAAAATATGCGTTAAATGTATAATAAAATATTTTTACGGAGGTTTATAATGGGGAATCATAATAATTGATCTAACTATAACAATGTTGTTACTAAAGTACTCAAGCATCTTGGTTTTCAAATCAAGATTCATAACTAACAAACAAGAACTTTTTCTTTTATTTAACCTCTTAAAGCACGAGTTTTTTCTCGAGAAAATGGCAAAAAATCATTGAGTTTTTTCTTTTTTTTGCAGAAAATTAATATATAGGTATGCGTAAGTTATTTTTCGCAATTTCAGTTGTGGGGGGGGGGAAGGACTAGGGTTTGTGTAAAAGTTCATAAAAAAAATCACTGTACAAACAAAGTTTAAACAATTTGACTACTGGTTTATTTTAAATTTTAAAACAATAAAACCAAATCATATCCACGGGAGAGTTCATCGCTGAAACTTTCTGATAAATTGGTATGTTCATTAATCATCCAGAGTCACTCATTATCCGATAAATTTTTCAAAACAAGACACAAAATGCAAATGGTTTTCACAAGAAAAATGTTGCATCTATGGTAAATAAATTTAATTATAATCTAGTCAATTCATTTTCACTAGAACGGATCTCAGATAGGCATTAGAAATAAAATAACGTGAGATACAAGATTGCCCGTGTGAGCCGTTGCTGGTAACTTTTGCTAGTGTCGGACATGAGTAAATGCTTTAAGGGGTTAAACATAATTTTAAGTAACAAAAATGTAAATGAAATATATTCCTTAAACCAAGCAGGTGATTGCATGAAAAAAAAGAGATTAAATAAAAAGTACATGTGTTGAAAATAATTAAGAATATTTGTGTACTTCAAATACATTAACTAACAATATTGTTGTTTTTTAAATGCTGCTATACTTTACTTTAACTTACAGGAACTTTTTGTAAGGAAATAATAGACGAGCTGGAAAGAAAATACAGCACTTAAAGAATTTTAAAATTATGTTGGGATAATGGATTGTTGATATAATAAAGATTTAACTTAATAAGATTAAATAAAAAAAATCTTAATATAAAATAAAATAACAAAATTTATTAATAAAATAAATTAAAAAAATCCATTTATATAATAATATATTGGGTGTACAAATTAGTTCGGTCTGTTTCTTTGTGATCAAAAATGCATTTATTTCAGAACAAAATAAATTAACAGATTAACCAAATTATTGTCCATCGCTGGCTTCTACTTTTTTCTACCTCTCAGGCAGTTTTCGAATTCCATCTCGAAAAAATATCTCGTCTTTCAAGGCGATCCTAGATAGGAGCCAATTTCTGATTTCTGCGAAAGAAGTGAACTGGTGACCTGCCAAACCGTGCTGCATCCGTCTGAACAACCAGTAATCAGACGGAGCAATGTCCAGCAAATACAGCGGGTGAGGTAAAAGAATACCTTTGTCATGTCTTTGCTCGTATTCCGGCCGTTTTTCTCGCAATGCACGGCTCAAACGAATTAATTGTAGCCTATACCGATCTCCCGTAATGGAATCACCAGGTTGTACCAGCTCATAGTATACAAAACTATTCACCATTCTTGAAACGTCGAAACCCTTCCATACATGATTTATCAGTTGGAGCATTGTCACCATAAACAAGAATTTGATGTGCTTCAGCTGCACTTTTCTTCCAATTAAAGCAAAACATAAAACCTCCTGCAAATGGTGCTTCGTTACCACAAAATCTGGCATATTCAACAAAGTAAAAAACAGGGTTTTTGTATGAAACTCAAAGCAACATAAACTGAATATTATTGACAGATGTTTAACCTTTCTGAAACCACCGAAACCAGTCGTCACTACGAAACATTCATAACAGCAGAGCCATCTCTTAAAAACGGCCCGAACTAATTTGTACTCCCAAAAACTTAATCTTATAAAAACTTAACACAGCATAAAACTTAACAAAAAATAAGCGATTATAAGTGAACAGTACTACTTTTAGCAAAATAGTTATTTTTTAATTTCAGAATATTATGCTGGGTGATATTTTTGTTGAATCCACAGAAACAAAAAATTAGATGATGATTAAAAGAAAAGTCATACAGTGTCTTAAAATATGAAAAATAGTTCTTACCGATGCACAAAATTCATTGTGCCATCCACAGGATCTATAATCCATGTTGGTGAATCAGTAAGGTGGCAGCCAGTAGTCTCCTCCCCTATAAAACTAAAAATTCAAACAGTTATAACAAGTGTTGACAAGATATGCTTATTAGCAAATTTATCTAATGAATATACCTATGAATATACCAGGCTATAGAACCCATATATAAAAATATTTCACAAGTTTCATAAAGCTTTGAACCTTGTGTTGCTCGAATTAATAAAAGAGTTACATTATCAATTGAGTTATTCGAATGACCAAAAAATATTACCCTTCGAGATTATTTTATTATTTAAAAAAAATATGTTCCATACATTTTACAATAATTTTTAACATGATGTAAATTCAGATTAAGATATTCAAATTTCAAACTTGAGTAATAATTTTTTACATGTTTGATTCATGACGATTTAATCATCACAACGACGATGATCATAATTTCATTTCTTTTAATGACAGGTATTTATAATTTTTGCACACTTCCATGTAGTTTTCAAAGTTGAAAGTTGTAATGACTCACGGATTCAAAATTTTAGTTGTTTCTTTTCATTTTCAGTCCATTCCATTGTTACGCCACATTATTTTGTGATCCCTTTAACAGCTATACAATTTTTAAATTCTGATACTTTTAATGAGTACAATGTTATTATGACATGAGATTTTCAGTGATCATTATTTGTGTTCTCATAAACATTGAAAAATAATGAGTAACGACCCTTTGTTAACAACTTATTTGAATATCCCTTTGGGATGTATTAACAAACTCCTAATTTGTCCGAACTTATAAAAAAAAACGTCCACACTTGTTCTTTACATATAACAAAGTAGCATCAAGACCAGCTCTATAGAAATACAATATATAAATAAATGTTACAATAAAATGGCATTGTGCATTATCATTACATCTAATAAATTTAAACTATCCGATAATCACAGGGGTAATTGGGAACCCAACTCAAAAATCCTGAAAATCTTTTAAGTGAAATCATTAATAACGCATTTCAAAACATGAAATTCTAAAGAAATTGTATGCAGCATAATTTAAATGGATGATTATGTATAAGTTTACTTTTATGTCTAATCACGTTTATTATTCTACCAGAAAAATATTTACAAATGAAAGAGATGCCAGGAATAAATTCTAGTTGTAATATTTCTAAATATACAAGAATTTTTATACATAAATGTGACTGATGATTTATTGAAACTTCTAGACCTCGGGTTTTCGAAAACTTCCAGATTGTGGTTAGCAAGATCCTGATTTTTTTTTCGGAGCACAATCATCTCTGTAATCATTGATGTGGATTTCTTCTTACAGTTATTGTTGAAATTTTTATTTCATTATAACAAGAAAAGTGCTGGCAGCTAAGAAACAAGTATGATTTGTTTAATATAATATCAAGTCTAATCTATAATACTAACAGCTAAGGATTTGATCTAAACAAAATAAAATAAACAATGGAGTTTTATGTATAATTCTAAAAATGAACAACATGATATTTAATTCAGCAAAACTGGCAAAATATTGAAATCATTTAAAATACATTAATTCGTCAAATTCAAAAAAGTAAGGTAAAAAACCGTAATCTTTGTTGTATATGTATATGAGGACGAAATTCATTTGCATCAATAAAAAAATATTATTTCGTTGCTAATATTTTTGCAACATGTTATTCTTTTTACCAATATAAAAATGATTTAAGGATTTTGTACCTAATCACTCTAGTTAATAACTATAATAATTAATTAAGCACTTGATAAATAAATGTAAAAAAATTAATAAATTTACAGTTAAGATTAAAACATTATTTTTCATTATCCCGTGAACCAAATAACTTGCTGATAGGCAAATTTCGTCAAATACTGAACAGAAATAGAATATTCGGGGATATAAAACAAACTAAAGGAGAATATTTAACAATCGTAGTGTCCATCAAATAATGTAAAACATATGCATTTTTTTGGTAACCCTTCAGGTTAGAATTCTGCCATGCAATAGAAAAATCATTGTAAGCGATAAAATTTCAAAGTTGAGACTTTCATATATCTAACACAAGAATTAAGAAAATAGTTATCTCAAAATCTATTTTGAATGACACAGCAGGATATAAGACACTAAAATTTTTAAAATTTAGTTACCTCCAAACAAATTAAATTTTTCTTGTTTTTTTTTAAAAAAGGTGTTCATTTTTAGAAACGTAAAAAAAAACCTAACATCTAATAGTTTTTGACAGTGAGAAGGAGAAAATAAATGTGGCAGTATTTTGTTTTAAATATAGTAGACAATCATAAGTTAAGACTCCTCGAATGCGTGTTTCATTTCGAAATTAAGCAGTTGTAATAAATAATATAGTATAAAAAATATCGCATGTAAAAACTATAGAGAAATCAATATAAATAACTGCTAAACATTCTATAGAATTATTTCCATAAAAAGTAAATACTCAAATGCAGGATTTAAATTTTCCATACTATTTTAAATATATTGTGATACAGTATAGGACCCGAAATCCGGCACTCACGGACAAATTAAATTCCGTATTTCAGAATTTGCCGAATTTCGGATCTCTTCCTGAAATTCCAATATGGCACCCATATATTACGATAATACAATTATGCTGTTAATTTCAGAAAAACCAATAAATTTAGCTAAGTTCTGATTGTAGATTATGATGGGGTGAATTTAAAACTGTCCTATCTTATGAAATTTCATTAATAAAAGTAATAATCTATATAATATAATCAAGGAGAAATAATCCAAAGAAGAAATAATTCAAGATGAAGTAATCCGAATCCTCCGAAAAGAAAAAGAAATAATTTAATTGTTTAATCTTCCGCACAAGATCATTGTTCTAATTTTTTCTTTACGTAACATTTTGTTTCAACAAAAGATGATCACCTCACAAGAAAAAAAAGAAAGAAAGCTAACAAGGAACTGCAAAAAAAAGTAACAATTAATGCTAAGAAACTAACAATGAATAACTACAAAAAAGAAGCAAACTAAGAAGAATAAAAAGAAAAAGTTAACAATTAACAAAAAAAGTAACAGTTAATAACAAATAAAAAGATAAATAAATCGAATAAAAAAAAAGCAAAAGGGATAGAATTCATTTTGTACACCACATAGTAGTTTCAATGTCAACAGGGTGTGGACAATTTATGGTCAAACAGGACAGGCTCCAACTTGCATCTCCTTATTTTGTTCATAAGAAATGCAGATGTTTTTACTTTTCAATTTCACTCATTTTTTTTCATGCTTTTTTTATTTTCAAAAGATAAAATATAGTTACTTCAAGAGAAAAAAATTCCAGATCAAAAGAGAATATGACTGATTTTTTTTTCCTCATATAATAAAAATTTCTTTAGGAAAAAAAAAATTAGGTTGGATTAAGTGCCGGAAATTGAATTAACACCATGAAATTGGGGGGGGGGAGGATTCCATTTTAAAAATAAAATTCTTCGGTGACCTAAATCCATGACTTTCCATGATTTTTCTTTTTAAAAAAATAGTTAAAATCATGACATTTCATGACAAATTTTGTTCAATACCGAAATTCATCACTTTCCAGGTGCGCAGATACCCTGTAAATAGATACCTGAAATTATGCATATTTTTCTATCGCTTATAAACAAAAATTTAAAAAACTAGATGATGGTGTTATAGTGACTCATTTTATTTGTGTTTTCTAAAAGATAGTGAAAGAATGAAATGCTGAATAGTGAAAAATTTTGATGAGGTCACAGTGATATCCCCTTAGTAGAAAAAATTACAGCAGGGTTAAAATGAGATACCTAAAGTATTCATCAAAAATTATTATGAAAAAGCAAAGGTACTTATTTTTGGTAATTCCTGAAAGTTGCGGTGATCCCTTCAGAGGGACAAAGTGATGTGAATTAAACAAATTATTCTATTAATATTGATGACATACATTCAAGTAGACAGTCAGAACATTCATCTCTGCAACACTTTTGTCATATACTCAATTACTCAGAAATGTGTGAATGACATTTGAACTATATTTATTTATTTTTTTAATAATTAATGAACAAAATGTATCTGATGCATATTTTTTTCAACTCCTGGTTAATATTTTTTACGAAATATATTATTAAATAATAAATGTTTTAATAAGAAATATTTCTTAAGGATGCAAAATTTGACAAATTGAGAAAATAACCGTTATTCGTCGCACTCTGTCTAATAACCTGTTAAGTGCAATATGTTCTTGCTTATTGCTCTTCTAGACTACAGCTTGTTTAGTCAATGACTTGTGATTTCTATGTGTATTAAGTTCCACTTAAATTCGAATGCTAGAAATGCTGCCTTTAATTTGTACACTGCCAGAAAAAATGGGAGAAAAAAAGTAAAGGCAAAAAACAAAATGTCTTTTTTTTTTTCAATTACTTGATTACATTTTTGCATTATAAAGTTCAAGTTTTAATGCAAATGTATTAAAAATGTACTAAACTAAACAATTTCTAAAATTATATTAAAACATGGTTAAAGAAATAGGCTTTCTTTCAGTTTTACTTTCAGTGACAATAAAAATGTAAAAAAAAGATGACATACCAATGGTCTGGGAAATGACTTTTAAAATTAGTGATTAAGAATTCTTCAACTTCTTTGTCTGTTTCAGTCACTAAATCTACGTTTGAAATCTTGGTTTTAATATTTTTCCTTTTATTGATGGCAGCTCTAATAATCTGCATTAAGAAATTATACATTTCATCATGAGAACTCAAAGAAAATAAAATTTCATGCATATCAATTTAATTAAACATAAACTAGTTATATCCAGCTTAAATTTAAAAAAATTGTTTCATTAAAATAAAAAAATTATGTACATATATCATTTGTGCACATTAAAAAAAAATGGAAAAAATCTTTTTAACAGACTTTGATCTAATTCTCTGCATTTAAATATAGAACTTTGATGGTATCATTGGCATGATGAAAAAAATTTAAGCCTGAAAAATGTGTTCAGTCTTGTGCTTGGTAAGGCAACAAAACCGACAAAGAATGGATGACAAAACTTTTTTTCTCCAAATTTGATATCCTCTGCTCATAAGAGACTGTAAAACAAATGCTTCCACTTTTTTGGTAGAAAAGGGTCAGTGACGTTTCCATTTTATGTGCTAATAAAAAAAAGGGCAAGACTTATCTAGTGGTCACTTTTTCCATTCCACTGGCCACTTTTTGTGTTAAAAGTACATTAAATTGATTTCACTTCTGTTATTAAAAAAAGAATGTTCATTTAAAATGTTACTAATATTATAATAAAAAATACATATTTTATTAGTTGTTATCTTTTCTACTTAAAACATGATATGTTGTATATCAAGTTTTAAGTAAAAATAATAATTTAAAAAAAAAGAAAGATATCGGTTTGATTTTAGACTTGTTTTATCCATTTCAATCAAACTCAATAATGTTTACAAAAGAACGATTGCTCTGAACTGAGTAAAACCCGCCTATCATTTAAAGGAAAGCTTTTCAAAAATAAACAATTGGGAGTCTGCCATACACTCTGGCAGACATTTCAGATTTCCATTAAAATTGGTACGATAATAATTGATTTAGTTTTGCTAATGGAATTGCCTATATTATCATTAGTCTTTTTATATTCCCTGCAAAATTCGTAAAACATTATTTTGCTCTAGCAAATTTAATTTCTATAAGTCACAATATTGAAAAGAGAACATATCATGCTTTTTAAAGTGTGCTGGGTAAGGATATATACAAAATATATAAGAATATATATCTGTGCGTAGGATATATACAAAATCAGGTTAGTGATAGTTATCAGTTATGTTTAAAATATACAACCGTGATTCGTCTCCATTGAAGTTCTGAAAATATAATAAAAATCTTGGGCAGATTTCCGTAATTTTATTACCTCTCCTGCTTTACGTGCTAAGTCCAGAGCAACTGTACAGCATTCATCAATGTTAACCGAGTCTGACATAGTAAACAAACTAACTTCTCAGTTCAATATTCGTTTGTTTTTCACTTGTTTTGCTGTAATTGGATTAAGCAAAACAAAAAAATAATCTCTATTGCCTATTTCTGCTTGAGAGATATATGCAGACTTGTGTGTCTAATAAACAGTACGGCTTATAAGCCTTTTAAAAGTAGGAAAAAAAAACGAGATTCTTTGTCAGAACTATTACAACTAAACACTTACAGTAAAAAAATAATAATAGTAAAGTTTGTGTTTGTTGTCAAATTAATACTAATTTATCATGTCTTTTTACTTACTTTACTTTTTTTAAATTATTTTTCTACATGTCACGTTGGGGAGAGATTAATAAGAGGCTTTGTTTTTTAATGATTTGAAGTAAGATCTTTTTACAAATTTTTTTGGGGTTGTTTGTTTTTGTCTTTTATTGTGTGGATTGCGCTTTTCGAAGTCAGACATATAAATAAGACAATGCAAATATACAATAAGAGCTCTAATTTTTTAGGACGCGTACTTTTTCGCCAAGAGCAGATATATTTCGCCAAAAAGTGGCAGCTGAAAAAGACTGACAACGAGATGGATTTTATGATTCCGTCTTAAGAGCCTTTTCGATATTTTGGCTGAAAATTAAGTGAATGGACTTTTTTTATATGTCTACTTTGACGTCACAATTAAAAAATTGAATTTAAATAGCTGAAGCAAGCAATATCATCATTTAAATTTTGTTTGAGATAATCAACTTCTGTTTTAAATTTGCTGCGTTTATTAATTGGTAAGCAATATATTGTAAAACTCTGGGGGATATTTCGGTATCGTGATCTGTAGCACCAACTGTAATCACTTAGGTGCCAAATAGATTATAAACTTGCAAATTTAAAAAAAAGAAAAAATGTAGATGATTTAGTAGGAAGATTTCAGTATCCTGATCTCTTGCAGAATTATCGCCAAGTCTTGGCAACTTCCGGACAGCATCCTGCGAGAAACTAAATAGAACATCACAGAGAGGTACCAATTAAAAGTATAACTCATAGCGACCCCCAGTCAAACATCTGTATGTTTTTGTTTGTTTTTTAAATTTTCAAGTTTAAAATCTATTTAGCACTTTGGCGATTATAATTGGCACAACAGATCACGATATGGAAGTATCCCAGTATGCCTTTTGAGTTGGTCTCTTTCTGTGATGTTTTTTTTTCTTCGACAGTCGTAGAAGCATTTTACTTTAAATTAAACGCTCTATGTTAATCAAGAGTTGATACTCATTATAGTTAGTCGAAAATTAAAACATTTTTCCAATATAAAACATTTTTTTAAAAAATAGTTTTTAAAATTCTTATTTTAGTTTTATGTCTGTAAGTTTCTTTGAGTTCCTACTTAATATTTCCATAAATAAAGTTGTGATTATATGGCTATTGATTTGTTTCACATTATTTAAAAATTGATATTAAATTGGATTAGCATCAGGCACTAGTTGGAACTTGTTGGAAGGGGTTGAAATTTAATGGGCATTAACCTTTCTTAGATGTTTAAATAGCTGTTAATTCTTTTAAGAGCTGTTCAGAAAACGATTAATACTCATATTGTCATCCAACACAGAACTTCATTTAAAATTTAAACATACTAGCTGGTCAAAATATTTAGTGATGATAAATTTCAGACAAATTCTGTTTGTGTTGGTCAGAAAAAGATGAAAGCTTATAATGCTCTATGTGGTGCCTTAAACTAGTAAACAACATTATACCAGGAGATTTTCGATTGCAATGTCTGGGAATTGAAAAAATGATCAAGTTCTCGATTTCAGAATTATATGAAAATGTCGCTAGACTGCAACTAATGGCCGATTTTCTTCGTCAATTTTAAATTTATATTTGAAATTCGCTTGAGCAACATGACCAGGGGTCTGTGCAGGCCAAATTTACTGCCGTTTAGCGAGACCTTCACAAATTCAACTTTAGGAAAAACGGTAGTTTCACAAAATTTTTCTTAAAATTTTATATTTGTATCCCGTAAGAAACGATCAATCTGTATTTTTTTTCATATTTTCGCGTTGATTTTTTAATTTTCACAAAATAGGTACCTCTCAGAAAAACCTAAACAGACCCCTAATGACAATTTTTTTCCCCCACTTACTGTACAAGTAGTTACTCCTTTTCCACCCTTTTCTTATTGCTTTCAATTGAAAGAGAGTGAAAGGAATTAATTTTAATTCAAATTGTTGAACAATAAGAAGAAATAAGCTCTCAAATAAAAGTTAGGATTAGCAGTCCACACTTGCAACGGGGAAAGTTAAAATAAAGCGGGGACCAATGCCTCTTTTGTCATTTATCCTCAGTTGCTGGAAATGCACATAAAAAACATTTATTTTTAATAACTTCTGTGTATATTTCAATTGAATGTTTGACAAGTTATAAGGTAATGAATTTTCTATAAAGAATCTTCAAGTAGTCTAAATTTAGGCACAATGTAGTTTAATCCTAATTTTTTTCAATGCATTTAATTTCTTCACTGCTGTAATCTTTAATTACTTTTCTTGCATTGACACTTTATTTCAACATCTTTTCAGATGTGGCTAATTTTGTTTTTAATGGCCGCCGTAAAGTAGAATTAATTATTGACCAAAAGAAAATCCTCTGCAATTAGGCTGATGTTTGCTTTGTTTCTTTGCTGAAAGATGAAACGGAAATAAGTAAAAAAAAGGGTAAGTACGGTATTTCGTCTTTGGCGCTCTCATAGCAAGGGTAATGGCAAATAAATGTAATAATAATTTCCAAGAAAAAGTTTTTTTTTAAAAATTTAACATGTGCAATCTATAAAAAAAGTTTTAAAAAACAAAAGGGAAAAAAAAGAATGAACAATGAAAGAATAATGAGATAATTAAAGCTGAGAGCAGCAATAGCAGAAAATCTAATCTTAATAGGTATATTATGTTTAATTAAGAGGCTTAATTTTCCAGAGTTAGTTATTATATTTCATTCTAATACAGAAGTTTTAAATTGATTATGAGATAAATAAGTCTAAAGTTGAACCTATTTTTACTTTTTTTAATTATTTCTTTTGATAAAATGTAATGTGTTATAAAAATAGTATATGTAACACAATATTTTTTAAATATTAATAAAAAAAAAATTACGTTAAGAATTTTGTCAAGAAAAATGGCCAGTGGAAAAAAAGTTACCACCAAGAAATTTCCTAATTTTGTCCTATATTCACAAATAATTTGTTGTTGTTCTTGTTATAGGCCATTAAGGCAAAAGGTGCGATTGTTTTTGTTTTCCAGTAGCGCCATCTGTGGCCCAAAATTCACCTACATCTATTCATTCATCCACAAATCGTAATTTTGACCTGAACCAGAGAACTATCCATCTCTAATCTAGTACCCCCATCCGTATAATTTTATTTTATAACCGTCGTTGAACAGCCGACCCAATTTAATGGGTTTACAACTACTGATGTTTAACTCCATAGCCTTGTCATTTTGAACCCAATCCAGAAGACAAGGCGACTCCTGGATCGAGTATTGGGAAAAATTTGCCTTTGTGGGGGACTTTTTCATGAAACTAACCAGCTTTTGCGTTACATGGATAGGAAGACCACGAGAATCTCCCACGGGTAGCCTGGCGGCAAGGAGATTCTAATCCATGATCCGTCTACCACTGAGGATATTTCACATCAGCACTGTGATCTGTGTAAGCCGGATGCAGAATTCGAACCCGGTTCGCCTCATTGGGAGGCGAACGCTCTATCCCCAGAGCCATCGCGACTCCAGCCTTATAATTTGAACGACCCAACATATTTAACATGCACCCGTCACCATTTACTATGTGTCTTCGACTAGCTGAATTCAAACGTGAGTCCAGCACCCTGCCAACCGAGCTATCTTAACGCCCACAAACAATTAGAATAGTCGAAAGAAGTAGTTTTAATGATGAGATGCAATTTATTTAAATCTTTACTTTAAATATAAAACTCTAATTATTGATTATAATTTAGCTTGTCTCATTAATGATAATATATAATTATTGTAAAGTTATAATAATAATATTTCTATGTAGAGGGGAGTTTAATTGCATAAAAGCCGGACTCAGCTATTGAATAGTTCATGCTTTGGATACATTGATCAGATCCAGTGTTTACTTTGACTTGTTTAGTTTTTAAAAAATTTGTGTTTCCTTGAAAGAAAATTCCTTGAAAAATACTAATTTTATTCTTGGTAAAATCATGCATTAAAAATAAGGAGTTTTCAGGGATGTCTCAAGCTGGTTCTACGGCTAGCTCAGTGAAACGGCACAGTTCTTTGTCACATTGGGCGGAGGATATACCGAATGATATATCCCAACATTCGCTCTCATCCCATCACCACCATAACTATGACAACGAATGGGATGCAAAAGAAGAATTGAGGCTAAGAGAGCTAGAAGAGGCCAGAGCTAGGGCTGCTCAGATGGAAAAAACAATGCGTTGGTGGTCAGATTGTACAGCAAACTGGCGGGAAAAATGGAGTAAAGTCAGGACAGAAAGAAATAAAGCGAGAGAGGAATCAAGGGTATTAAGGTCAGTTTTCAGAATTTGAATATTTTTTTTCTTCTGATTATTGTATTGTTAGAAAGTACCAGAAAAAAGCAAAGAAAATCTTGAAAAATTATAGTAGTACCTCCTGGTTCCATCTTTTGTCACTTAATCTCGTGTTTCATTGCGGACGGCGATCAAAAGTGCCCCATAAGATTAAGATGTCAAAAAAAGTTGGATAATGACACACATTTATTTGAAGTAAATAAAAAGTAAGCATTCCAAATTAAAAAAAAAATTTTTTTTAAATGTATTATATGAAGTTGAAAATTGTTTTTGACTTATTTAAAATAATCTGTTCTACGTGAGTTTATTAAAAAATCATAGATAACAGGAAAAAATAGAACAGTATGAAAAATTAGCACAAATCGGTGTATATAGACTTCCCTGACAAACACACCACGCATTGTGATAATTTAACTTTTAAATACTATATTACTTTATTGCAAATCTTTAATTTTATTATTTCTATCTTTATATAGATCTTATGATTTTAGTGTTGATTTTTTTAATACTGAACTTAAAGTAATAATCTTAAAGCTTAAATATCCTAATATAATATTGATGTGTGATATAAATATTGATATTCTGAGTGATGATTTTATTACTCATGAATATATTAATTTATTATGCCAATTTGGATTTAAAGATTACATAAACAAACCAACTAGAATAAAATCCTCGCCAACTTGCATTGGTCATGTCTTCGTAAAAACAAATAAATTTTCAGTCAAGTCTGGAATATTCATAAGTGACCTAAGCGATCACTATCCAACCTTTTACAGTGTTTATAAGGATGAGGTGAATAAAATTAAGGAAACTGAAAATAAAATTTCAATCAACTATAATAAGCTCTATAATTATCTGTCAAATTACAAATTTAATTACAATCCTCAAGATTCTCTTGATCAACAACATCGAAGTTTTGTTTTCAAACTTAATAATTTAAAAAATAATTTTAAATATATGCATAAATCAAGCAAAAGAGCCAAAAATAACTGGAGGACTAGTAATATCTTGATTTTAATTCGAAGAAAGGAAAAACAGTTAAAAACTAGAAAATATCCATGGGATATTATTTACTAAACAGCATACAACACTATAGTTTCTGAGCTTAAGAACTTAATTAAAACAGCAAAATCAGAATATTTCAAAATCAAATTTTTAAATTTTGATTCAAATAAACAAAAATGGGATCTTGTAAATAGTATCATTGGTAATCAGAGCAAATCACCTACTTTACCTGAAATTTTAAACGACTATGAATCTTCTGATCAATTCAATAAATCATTTGCAAATGCTGACAGTACTTCAAACCCAAATTCAAACAGTTTTCAAATATGTATTTCACCAAGTTTAACTTCGTTTGTTTTCCTAGAATTGAATGATTGTGATGTACTTTACTTAATAAATTCTCTTTCTAATAAAAAGTCCTTTGACTATGACGGTATTAATGTAACATTAATTAAACTATTTGCTCTCAATAATATAAATTTTATAACTAATTTCATCAATACCTCAATCAAGTCATCCATTTTTCCAACTTCTTTAAAAAGAGTAACCATAACTCCTATTTTTAAAGCCGGCGATAAAAATTGCTTATCAAACTATAGACCAATTTCAATATTACCTGTTTTTTCCAAAATCATTGAAAAAGCTCTAGCTAATAAAATGTACAATTATTTAAAATATGCGAATTTTCTCTATGAAAATCTACATGGATTTATTAAAGGCAAAAGTACAGAAAAAGCTCTTTTGGAATTTTCAAAATTTATTCATAACAGTATTGCTGAAAATAAGGTAACAGTAGCTATATTTCTTGATATATCAAAAGCTTTCGATAATGTCAATCAAAATCTTTTAATCGAAAAATTAGAATTTGCTGGTTCCAGAGGAATTATTTTAAATTGGATTATTTAATATCTTTTAAACAGAGAACATAGAGTTAAAATCCAAAGTAATTTTAGTAATTTTATTTTCTCAAACCGTGGTGTTCCTCAAGGATCTATTCTAGGACCCTTATTGCTTATTATATTCATCAATGACTTTTGTCAACTCAAACTTTTTTGGTAAGATAATAACATATGCTGATAATTCCGTAATTTTGTATTTTTGCACTGGTTTAAATCAACTAATTTTTCGAATTGAATCTGATTTACGCGTAATTTCAAAATGGTTTACAGTAAATGACTTAAATTTAAATCTAAATAAAACTAAATATATTTATTTCTGTTTAAGAAAATCAGAATTTAACTTAAATTTAAAATTTCACTCTCTCTCCTGCAAAAGTACTAATGAAAATTGTCAATGCTATATTCTACAATCTGTAAATAATATCAAATATTTAGGACTATATATCGATTCTAATTTAAAATGGAAAACACATATTAACAATTTAGTTAAAAAATTGCGTTTCGTTTTAGTTAAATTTTATCACCTTAAGAATAAAATTCATTTTAATTTTGTGAAAGCACTCTATTACTCCTGGTTTTATTCTTTAATTAATTATGGTGCGATAATATATGGCGGTGAATATAAAACTAATTTACTTCCCTTAATCTCAGTTCAGAATAAATGCTTCAAGATTATTAATTCTCTAAATATAAATAATTCAAGTGTAACTACTACCAATATATATACAAGAATTAACCTATTACCATTTCGCCATAATGTATTTTTTCGTATTTTACTCTATTTACACAACAATAAATTAATATGCAAATTAAAAACTAATGTGTCTGAAAGGAGACCAACTGA